TTTCTTTCTTTCTTTTTTTTTTTTTTTTACTACTTATTCCTAGACTAACACAGCATGCTATTCCCTATTCTGCCATCTTGGAATTCTCCAATCTGTCAATTTGTAGGAGTACTTCATATATTTTTGACATAGATCTTTTGTCAGTTATATACGTTATAAATATCTTCTCCCACATTCTCTCTCTCTTTTTTTTAATAGTATGTTTATTTGTTTAAAAGGCAGCATTAGAGGAAAAGACAAAGAAAGGTCGAGATCTTCCATCCAGTGGTTTACTCCACAAATGGCTGTAATCCCCATGGCTGTGCCAGACCAAAGACAGGAGACTGAAACTCCACCGAGGTCTCCCGTTGGGTGGCAAGGGCCTAAGCACTTGGTCCATCTTCTGCTGTCTTTCCAGGTGCATCAGCAGGGAACTGGATGAGAAGTGGAGCAGCTAGGATCGGAATTGGTGCTCATATGGTATACCTGTGTTGCAGGCAGGGGCTTAATCCACTGTGCAAAAACAGTGGCCAACAACACTGGCCCCATCTTCTCCCACATTCTTTTTTTTTTTTTTTTTTTATGGTTTTTTGATGGCAGGAAACATTTAAATTCAGAGCAATCTGTTAGTGCTTGCTTTATGTTGGCTGTTTTTCTCTGTGTCTTGTTTAGACTTTAAATATTTTTTGAAGTTAATTTTTGTATGAGGTGGGGTCTATTTTTTTTTTTTCCTCTACAGACCCTCAGTACTATCCACGTAGACTGTACTGTCTTTTTGCCCTCTGATAAATGGAGTCAAGTCTCATGTATACAGGTGTCTATTTTTGTTTCATTTTCTTTTCTGTCTTGGTCTCTGTTCCCTTTTCCTGTTACGCTTGATTGCCTACACAGTTGCCCTGCACCGTCTTAATGTCTCAGCTAGGACAAGGCCTTCTTCTTCCTTCAGCAGTGCCTTGGCTGTTTGTAGCCATTCTCTTTCCCACGTGGCACAGCAGATTAAACGTCTGCCTGCTATGCTTTCATCTCATGCGAACCCTGGTTCAAGTCCAGGCTGTTGCGGCCATTTGGGGAGTGAAATAGCGGAGGGAGGACCTGGCTCTGTAACTCTCTCTGTAATGCTGCCTTTCAGAATAAATAAGTAAATCCTAAAGACAAATGAAAAGAAATCAGTTTAGGGGTCATAACTTGGTAAAAGGTTGTGTTTTCCTTTTGGGTCTTTGACTTTTGTTAGATTTCCACCATTATCCCCAAAATGTTCCTTTTTAAAAAAGAGTGAATTATTTCTTTATTCGAAAGGCAGAGTGACAGAGAATGGAAGGTAGAGAGGGAGAACTAACCCACTGGTTCATTCCCCCAAATTCTTGCAGCAGCTGAGACTGGGCCAGGCAAAAGCTTGGAGCCAACAACTCCACCCAGATCTTTCATGTGAGTGGCAGGAACCCGTCTGCAGCCTCTCAGGTGCATTAGCAGGAAGCTGAATTGGAAGTATTGAGTGTCTGGAACTCACAGGACACTCTGATAGGGGATGCAGGAGTCCCAAGCAGTGGCTTAACCACTGCACCATAGTGCCTGAACCAGTAATTTACTGTATTTTAATTCTATTATAATTAGTGCTTTTGGTTTTTGACTACTGCTATTATATAGGAATATAATTTTGCATCTGGCCATTTTGCCTAAACAAATAATCTCAAAAGATTATCCATCATTCCATCTGGATTTTCTATATATTCAATAATAGTATTTATGTTCCATGATCTATGACAGCTTTGTTTTCCAGACCTTATATTTTATTTCATTCTTCTTAACCTTATTATACTGATGCTGTACTATTTGATTAAGTGGTTACAGCAAGTCATTTGTGATAATTTGAAAAGGGAATCTTTGTGTTTGACCATTAATCATCATCTTTGCCACGTGTTTATATATACTTTGTCACTTAAAAGAACTCTTTTTTTCTTTGTTACCTAGAGAACTTTAAAATATTTACTTGAAAGGCAGAGAGATAGACACATAGAGAGGTCATCCATCTGCTCGTCTCTCCCCAAATGCCCTCAACAGTCAGGCCTGATCTAGAAAGAAGGAAGGAGCCTGGGACTCAGGTCTCCCCCATGGGTGGCAGGGACCCAATTACTTGAACCAATGCTTGTTGCCCCCATGGTGCTCATTAGCAGGAAGCTGGACTCAGCCAGAACTTGAACCCAAGCACTCCAAAATGAGCTTTGGGCACCACAGTGGAGTTTTAACCATTGCTCTAGATGCCTGCGTCCAAGAAAACTTTTAAATCATAAATGAATATGTGATTTTATTAGAAACATGTGCTGTATCAAATGAGATCACTGCCTAGGTTTTTTAAATCACAAATGCTGTTGTGAAATCACATTTTCTGGCCGGCACCAGCTGTGGCTCAATAGGCTAATCCTCCGCCTTGCGGCACTGGCACACCGGGTTCTAGTCCCGGTCGGGGCGCCAGATTCTGTCCCAGTTGCCCCTCTTCCAGGCCAGCTCTCTGCTGTGGCCTGGGAGTGCAGAGGAGGATGGCCCAAGTGCTTGGGCCCTGCACCCCATGGGAGACCAGGAGAAGCACCTGGCTCCTGGCTTTGGATCAGCGCGATGCATTGGCTGCAGCGCGCAGGCCGCAGCGGCCATTGGAGGGTGAACCAATGGCGAAAAGGAAGACCTTTCTCTCTGTCTCTCTCTCTCTCTCACTGTCCACTCTGCCTGTTAAAAAAAAAAAATCACATTTTCTTTTATTAAACCAGTCTAATTCAGAAATAAATCTGTCATGTTTTGTTATTCTTTTGTGTATGTTTAATCTGCATTGCTCAATGAGATTTTTATAGTCTTTACATATATATGGAACTACCTCATTAAGTATACGCACTTTTTTGTTTTTCTATATCTTTTAATTGACAAATAATAATCGCATATATTTTTATGGTATACAATGTGATGTTTTGAGATATGTAACATCAGATTACTTAAATAAAGCTAGTTAACAAACCTATCATCTCACTTCAATCATTTTAATCTCAAAAAGTTACTCTTTCTGGGCCGGCGCTGTGACGTAGTGGGTAAGGATGCCACCTGTGGCACTGGCATCCCATGTGGGCACCAGTTCAAGTCCTGGCTGCTCCTCTTCTGATCCAGCTTCCTGCTGTGGCCTGGGAAGGCAGTGGAGGATGACCCAAGTGCTTACACTCCTGCCACCCATGTGGGAGACCTGGAGGAGGCTCCAGGCGCGTGGCTTCAGATCAGCACAGCTCTGGCTGTTGCGGCCATTTGGGGAGTGAGCTAGTGGGTAGAAGACTTCTCTCTCTCTCTGCCTCTGCCTTTCAAATAAATAAATACATCTAAAAAAAAAAAAAAAGGTCTTTCTAGCTGAAATTCTCCCTACCGATCTCCTCTCCCCAGCTTCTAGTAATCACTGTGCTACTCTGAACACTTATGGGTTTTCACGTTCAGAGTCCTGGTTTAAGTGAGAGCATGCGCAGTTTGTCTCAGTGCTGGGCTCCTTGCGCTTAGCCTGGTATCCTCCCAGGTCGGCCATGTTGTCCCAGATGCTATGGTTTCCTTCTTTTTAAAGGCTGGTTGGTATCCCATTGTGTGCGTATATCCCAGGTTTTCTTTATTCATTCACCTTTATTCATTCCATATCTTGGCTATTGTAAATAATGCTGCAACAAACATGGAGTGCAGGTGTCTCACTGACATGCTGTCTCCTTTGGGTGTAGAGTGCTGGATCCATAAGATAGTTCCACTTCTGATTTTTCGAGGAGCTTCTCTACAGCTTTCTGTAATGGCTGTACTAATTTACATTTGCATCGAGTTCCTCTTTCTCCACATCCTCGCCAGTATTTACAATCTTCTGTGTTTTTGATAATAATCATTTTAAGTGTATGTTTTTTTAAATTGTGAAGTAAATTGAACCTTGTGAAGTTACCTCTTTATCTCTAGCAACGTCTTGCCTTGAGGTTCTATTTTGTTTAGTATTTATTAATACTTGTATGTATGTCACTAGGTTTATTTTAGATATTTGCACGATTTATCTTTTTCTGTATCTTTTTGTTTCAGGTGTTGTCAACTCTGTCCAGTTTGACAACCTCAAGGTTTTCAGTGAAGTTTTAGCTTTATTATGTCTAATAAGTTAATGTATTTGGACATAAATGCAATGTCTTTGTACATTTTAATTGTACTGCACGGTTACATTTTTGTGATGTCATACTTTAGGCTCTAAACCTCTAAGGGCCCTTCTTTTCATTATCATTCAATTCAACATATTTTCTCATTCTTAGTATTCTTCTTTGATCCATAGTTTACTTTGTAAAGAATTTCTGACTTTCAAAAATACAGGTATTTGGTTGTTATCTTTTTGGTATTGATTCTGGCTTATCTTGTGTTTGGAAAGCCTGTGAAAAAAACTGTATTTTTGTGGTCTCTATGGCCATCATATAAGGTTTTTCTGTTCAAGTTTTCAAAATCTCTACTGAACATTTTAGCCTGTTTGTTCTATCAGTCACTTAGAGAACGAGTGTTAAAGTTTCCCACCAAAAGTATTGATTTTTCTCTTTGTTCTGTATTTATCAGTGTGTACTGACTTCAGAATCTTTGAGTCCCCACAGTGGCTTTTCTGGGGTGACATTTTGAAGAAGGAGACAAAGCCTTGACATCATACAGTCTTTGAGTGCCAGCTTTCTGTGGTTTGGGGGACTGCATCAGCTCTGCACATCCAAATTGTTTGCTATCTAGAGTTCGAATGAGCTGCATGAAATTAAAGGAAATGGACAGTTTCGCAGGCTGAGGGCAGCTGAGTGACGTGGAGGCTTTGGTGTCTGTGTGTTGTCGAGAGACAGTTAATTCATGCTCTGTGAGTGGGCAGGTTTTACTGTTCTCTTGCTAAGAGTAATAATATCAAGTTCAGATCAATGTCAACAGCTTCTCGGGATGAGTGAGATGAGTGCCCATAGAACAGTCAGCCTGCTGCACACGGGCATTGTTTTCACGAATTTCTCTTATATCTCTAGTTGTTTGAAGGATTGAAGGCGTTCCGAGGAGTAGATAATAAGATCCGATTGTTCAGACCCAATCTCAACATGGATAGAATGCTCCGATCGGCTGTGAGGACAACGTTGCCGGTAGGTAAATTTAGTTTTTGTGATTCGCTAAAGGTCGTGGATTTCTCATTTCTGATTAATGAGACTAATGTTCTGTACCAACTGTGTGATCATTGACACTCTTTCTTAACTGTTTTGCAAGGAAATCATCAACACCACTTAACAATTCCGTATTTCTATTTCTTTGTGAGTATCTGGGGAGATTAATGTGTATATGAGTGATACAGGATAAGAAAAATAAGGAGATCTCAGGACCATATGAAATTTTAATGTAGAAAATGCAAAATCTGTGCAACACAGATATCGTAGGGGTGTTTTGTCTAATTGCTTTAGGTATTAACGATATAAAGTGATTTAATTATTTTTATCTTAAATTTTGTTTTGATATTTAAAACAGATATTATAAAAGACTTCTATACGGTCTTTGGATCCTGACCATAGCATTGTTAGGGAGCAGAATTGATTATAAAGTTTATTAGATGCAACCCCCTAAGGCTCACATCTAGGTAAGAAGTGTCTCAGGTTGTTTTGGTGATCTTTTTCCACTGAAAAATGCCCTTCTCTCCTGTTACGTGTTCTGTGTTTCTGACCTCCAGGCCCAAGCTGTGCGTCGAAGAAGTCTGGGTACAGCTAAATCCAAGGAAATGGCTCTTTTTTTAGCCAGGCTGTTCCTTTTCCTGCTTATGTTTGTAATTCAGGCTTTACCTCCCTCCTTTATGCACAATGATGTGAGGGTATTTTCAAAGGTTTGTAGAAAAAGAATTAAAAACACTTCAGTCAGCTTTTCATGGCTTAACTAAAATTCCCGAGAGGAGCTTCCTAGGAAGGAGGCTTATTTGACTAGCAGATTGGAGGTTCACCATCTAAGATTGCATGGCCCCATTGGGTCAGCATCTGCTGCAGGCCAGCGGAGGCCGTATTCCCTGGAACCAGGAAGCAGACCGACACAGGGAGCTCGCTAGTCCTCTGCCCTCTGTATGTTCTCTCCTCGTATACTGTCGTGGGTTGACCATAGAGCTCCACCCTGGCAACCTGATCCAATCCAACCACATCCCTAAATCCTCGCCTTCAGACACTGAAATTGGATCAAGTCTCCACTGTAATCCATCAACCATTGGCTTTAATCCAATAGCCACTAATGTGAGACTTTGGCGTTTCAATGTCTATGAGTTTGGGGAGCCAAATCCTTTACAGACCATAGCAAATAGAGAAGATTAATTTTGGTGCAAAAACATTCTGAAATCCATGCATAGTTTTTTCATGAGATAAATTTTCCATGATCCCTCATGTGCATGAAATTCAAGATTTTTGTTTCTGTCACAAAATAAGCTTATCGCTTACTATTTTTTAAGAAGATTTATTTATTTTATTTGTAAGGTAGAGTTACAGAGAGGCTGAGGCAGAGAGAGAGAGTAAGAAAGAGGTCTTCCATCTGCTGGTTCACTCCCCAGATGGCCACAGCGGCCAGAGCTGAACTGATCTGAAGCCAGGAACCAGGAGCTTCTTCCTGGTCTCCCATGTGGGTGTGGGGGCCCAAGGACTTGGGCCATCTCCTACTGCTCACCCAGGCCATAGCAGACAGCTAGATTGGAAGTGGAGCAGCCGGCTCTCCAACCAGTGCCAGCACTGCAGGTGGCAGCTTTACCTGCTATGCCACAGCGCCAGGCCAATCACTTACCATTTCTTATGATGACTTACTTATTTGAAAGGTAGAGGCACAGAGTGAGAGGGAAAGATAGAAGGTTTTTTCCATCCACTGATTGACTCTCCAAATGACTGCAACAGCCAGCTCAACACCAGGCCAGCCAGGAACCACGAGCTCCTTCCTGGTCTCCCACATGGATGACAGGGACCTGAGATTTTGCAGCGTTTTCTGCTGCCTTCCGAGGCAAATAAGCAGTAAGTTAGATTCAAAGCTTTCTCTAATACAGGATGCCCTCATTGCAAGGGCAGCTTACCTCTTTGTACCACAGTGCTGGCCCCTAATTTTATCTTGTAGTTAGGTTTGTAATTGTAGTCTTGTAATTATGAAAAAAGTTTTCAAATTTTTTGAAGTATAGTAGCATAAAGGAAATTAATGTAAAATCTTTTGATTTTTCCTAGTATCAATTGTTTTTTAATTTTTTAAAAAATTTATTGAAGTTATATAAGTTTCATGTATTTCATGTACACAGATTTAGGAACATAGTGATACTTCCCATCCTACCCTCCTTTCTCCCTCTCCCATTCGTACTCTTCATTTTTACAAAAATCTGTTTTCATTTATTTAATGATTATAAATTTTTTTAAAAGAGAGGTAGAGGCAGAGAGAGGTCTTCCATCCTCTGGTTCACTCCCCAGATGGCTGCAATGGCCAGAGCTGCGCCGATCCGAAGGCAGGAGCCAGGATCTTCTTCTGGGTCTCCCACTTGGGTGCAGGGGCCCAAGGACTTGGGCCATCTTCTACTGCTATCCCAGGCCACAGCAGAGAGCTGGATAGAAAGAGGAGCAGCCGGGACTAGAACTGGTGCCCATATGGGATGCTGCCGCCTCAGGCCAGGGCTTTACCCTGCTGCACCACAGTGCCAGCCCCAGACTTAACTTATTTTTAAGCTGTCACCCATCAAATATATGAAAAAGGTTGTCTGCTAAGAAATAAACCGCTCTTTGCTTTTTCACTTAACTGTAAGGTTATCTCTTTTGCTGATTTTTAGGATACCTTAACATATACTGATTGTATAGTGATGTATTGGTTGTATGTATGTTACCAGTAACTTCACCCAGTTTGTTGCTTTAGATTTTTTGATGAAAATAGTCAAATTGTATTTATTTCCTTCATAACTTTTGTTGTACAGTTTTTTTTTTTGAGAATCCTTTCAAACCTGAAGTTCACAGAGATATTTTATGATTTTTTTATGAAAGACATTCTAATTGTAATTGATTTGCAAGTATGGTAATAGGTGGGGATCTAATTTCTCATTTTTCTTATGGAGCTTATATATTTCTGCTTGTTGTTTGGGGAATAATCAGTAACAGAAAAATAATTTTGCTTGGTTTTGTTGTTACAATTTTAATAGTCTAAAAGCTTCCTTGATCACACTGACTATAATGCTATAGTAAGAGAAAATTTCTCATTTGCTGTGCTTTTCACTCTTCCAGGGATTTGATAAGGAAGAGCTTTTGGAGTGTATTCAACAACTTGTGAAATTAGATCAAGAGTGGGTCCCTTATTCAACATCTGCCAGTCTATATATTCGTCCTGCCTTCATCGGAACTGAGGTACAGGCTGGCTCCCTATTCGGTGTAGTCTGGTGGAGGGTTGTTTGAAATTAGTAGTAGTGTGTAGATAAATAGCCCACAACAGGCACATTAATTATTTCTTTCTCCTGATTATCACCAGTAGGGGTAGCACCTGTTTTAGGCTTTTGGGGCCATACAGTGTCTGTCGCAATTACTCATCTCAGCCATTGTAATACCAAAGCCGCCTTAGACAGTATGTAGATGAGTAAATGAGTGAGACTGTGCTGTTTGCCAACGAGTCAAAACTAATAATCATTCTGCAGTTTACAAGGACAACACTGCCCCGAGGAAAAGTGGTTAATGGTTTTGAAACTTGGGGAAGAGAGGGCCGCTCATTTTTATGTTCATTTTCTTTTTTTTTTTTTAACTTTTATTTAATGAATATAGATTTCCGAAGTACAGCTTATGGATTACATTGCACCCCCCATGACTTCCCTCCCACCCACAACCCTCCCCTTTCCTGCTCTCTCTCCCCTTCCATTCATATCAAGATTAATTTTCAATTTTCTATATATACAGAAGATCAGTTTAGTATACATTAAGTAAAGATTTCAACAGTTTGCACCCACATAGAAACACAAAGTGAAAAATACTGTTTGAGTATTCGTTATAGCATTAAATCTCAATGTACAGCACATTAAGGACAGAGATCCTACATGAGGAGTAAGTGCACAGTGACTCCTGTTGTTGACTTTACAAATTGACACTCCTGTTTATGGCATCAGTAATCTCCCTATGCTCCAGTCATGAGTTTCCAAGGCTATGGAAGCCTTTTGAGTTCACCAACTCTTACCTTATTTAGACAAGGTCATAGTCAAAGTGGAAGTTCTCTTCTCCCTTCAGAGAAAGGTACCTCCTTCTTTGATGACCCATTCTTTCCACTGGGATCTCACTCACGGAGATCTTTCATTTAGGTTTTTTTTTTTTTTTTTTTTTTTCCAGAGTGTCTTGGCTTTCCATGCCTAAAATACTCTCATGGGCATTTCAGCTGGATCCGAATGCCTTTAGGGCTGATTCTGAGGCCAGAGTGCTGTTTAGGACATCTGCCATTCTATGGGTCTGCTGTGTATCTCGCTGCCCATGTTGGATTGCTCTCCCCTTTATTTATTCTATCGGTTAGTATTAGCAGGCACTAGACTTGTTTATGTGCTCCCTTTGACTCTTAGTCCTTTCATTATGATCAATTGTGAACAGAAATTGATCACTTGGACTAGTGAGATGGCATTGGTACATGCCACCTTGATGGGATTGAATTGGAATCCCCTGGTATGTTTCTAACTCTACCATTTGGGGCAAGTCAGTTTGAGCATGTCCCAAATTGTACATCTCTTCCCACTCTTATTCCCACTCTTATATTTAACAGGGATCACATTTCAGTTAAATTTCAACACTTAAGAATAACTGTGTATTAATAACAGAATTAAACCAGTCATATTAAGTAGAACAGACAAAAAAATACTACGAGGATAACGTATTAAGTTGTTCATTAACAGTCAGGGCTATGCTGATCAAGTCACCGTTTCTCATAGTGTCCATTTCACTTCAACAGGTTTCCTTTTTGGTGTTCAGTCAGTTGTCACTGATCAGGGAGAACATATGATATTTGTCCCTTTGGGACTGGCTTATTTCACTCAGCATGATGTGTTCCAGATTCCTCCATTTTGTTGCAAATGACTGGATTTCATTGTTTTTTACTGTGGTATAGTATTCTAAAGAGTACATATCCCATAATTTCTTTATCCAGTCTACTGTTGATGGGCATTTAGGTTGGTTCCAGGTCTTAGCTATTGTGAATTGAGCTGCAATAAACATTAGGGTGCAGACCACTTTTTTGTTTGCCAATTTAAATTCCTTTGGGTAAATTCCAAGGAGTGGGATGGATGGGTTGAACCGTAGGGTTATCTTCAGGTTTCTGAGGAATCTCCAGACTGACTTCCATAGTGGCTTGACCAGTTTGCATTCCCACCAACAGTGGGTTAGTGTCCCTTTTTCCCCACATCCTCGCCAGCATCTGTTGTTGGTAGATTTCTGTATGTGAGCCATTCACACCGGGATGAGGTGAAACCTCATTGTGGTTTTGATTTGCTTTTCCCTGATTGCTAGTGACCTTGAACACTTTTTCATGTGCCTGTTGGCCATTTGGATTTCCTCTTTTGAAAAATGTCTGTTGAGGTCCTTGGCCCATCTCTTAAGTGGGTTGTTTGTTTTGTTTTTGTGGAGTTTCTTGATCTCTTTGTAGATTCTGGTTATTAACCCTTTATCTGTTGCATAGTTTGCAAATATTTTTTCCCATTCTGTTGGTTGTCTCTTCACTCTCCTGACTGTTTCTTTTGCAGTACAGAAACTTCTCAATTTGATGCAATCCCAATAGTTGATTTTGGCTTTGACTGTCTGTGCCTCCCAGGTCTTTTCCAGAAATTCTTTGCCTGTGCCAATATCTTGAAGGGTTTCTCCAATGTTCTCCAATAACGTGATGGTGTCAGGTCATAGATTTAGGTCTTTAATCCATGTTGAGTGGATTTTTGTGTAAGGTGTAAGGTAGGGGTCTTGCTTCATGCTTCTGCACGTGGAAATCCAGTTTTCCCAGCACCATTTATTGAATAGACTGTCCTTGCTCCAGGAATTGGTTTTAGATCCTTGATCAAATATAAGTTGGCTGTAGATGTTTGGGTTGATTTCTGGTGTTTCAATTCTGTTCCATTGGTCTATCCATCTGTTTCTGTACCAGTACCATGCTGTTTTGATAACAACTGCCCTGTAGTATGCCCTGAAATCTGGTATTGTGATGCCTCTGGCTTTGTTTTTGTTGTACAAGATTGCTTTAGCTATTCGAGGTCTCTTGTGCCTCCATAAGAATTTCAGCATCATTTTTTCTAGATCTGAGAAGAATGTCTTTGGTATCTTGATTGGTATTGCATTGAATCTATAAATTGCTTTTGGGAGAATGGACATTTTGATGATGTTGATTCTTCCAATCCATAAGCATGGAAGATTTTTCCATTTTTTGATATCCTCTTCTGTTTAAGATTTTGTAATTCTCATTGTAGAGATCTTTAACGTCCTTGGTTAAGTTTATTCCAAGGTATTTGATTGTTTTTGTAGCTATTGTGAATGGGATTGATCTTAGCAGTTCTTTCTTAGCCGTGGCATTGCTTGTGTATACAAAGGCTGTTGATTTTTGTGCATTGATTTTATACCTTGCTACTTTGCCAAATTCCTCTATGAGTTCCAATAGTCTCTTAGTAGAGTTCTTTGGATCCTCTAAGTAAAGAATCATATCGTCTGCAAAGAGGGATAGTTTGACTTCTTCCTTCTCAATTTGTATTCCTTTAATTTCTTTTTCTTGTCTGATGGCTCTGGCCAAAACTTCCAGAACTATGTTAAATAGCAGTGGTGAGAGTGGGCATCCATGTCTGGTGCCAGATCTCAGTGGAAATGCTTCCAACTTTTCCCCATTCAATAGGATGCTGGCCATGGGTTTTTCATAAATTGCTTTGATTGTATTGAGGAATGTTGCTTCTATACCCAATTTGCTTAGAGTTTTCATCATGAAAGGGTGTTGAATTTTATCGAATGCTTTCTCTGCATTTATTGAGATAATCATATGGTTTTTCTTCTGCAGTCTGTTAATGTGGTGAATCACATTGATTGATTTGCGAATGTTGAACCATCCCTGCATACCAGGGATAAATCCCACTTGGTCTGGGTGGGTGATTTTCCTGATGTGTTGTTGTATTCTATTGGCGAGATTTTTATTGAGGATTTTTGCGTCTAGGTTCATCAGGGATATTGGTCTATAGTTTTCTTTCAGTGCTGCATCTTTCTCTGGCTTAGGGATTAAGGTGATGCTGGCTTCATAGAAAGAATTTGGGAGGATTCTATCTTTTTCGATTGTTCTGAATAGTTTGAGAAGAAATGGAATTAGTTCTTCTTTAAATGTCTGGTAGAATTCAGCAGTGAATCCATCTGGTCCTGGGCTTTTCTTTGTTGGGAGGGCCTTTATTACTGTTTCAATTTCTGTTTCAGTTATGGGTCTATTTAGGTTTTCTATGTCTTCCTGGTTCAATTTAGGTAGATTGCATGTGTCCAGGAATCTATCCATTTCTGATAGGTTTCCCTGTTTGCTGGCATACAAGTCCTTGTAGTAATTTCTGATGATTCTTTTTATTTCTGTGGTGTCTGTTGTTACGTTCCCTTTTTCATCTCTGATTTTATTGATTTGGGTCTTTTCTCTTCTTTTTTTAGTTAGTTGGGCCAATGGGGTGTCAATTTTGTTTATTTTTTCAAAAAACCAGGTCTTCGCTTGGCTGATTTTTTGTAATTTTTTTTTTGATTCAATCCTGTTGATTTCTTCTCTGATTTTAATTATTTCTCTTCTCCTACTAGATTTGGGTCTGGTTTGCTGCAGTTTTTCTCGGTCCTTGAGATGCACTTAAAGCTCATTTATTTGGTACCTTTCCAATTTCTTGATATAGGCACCTATTGCTATAAACTTGCCTCTCAATACTGCTTTTGCCATATCCCATAAGTTTTGATATTTTGTGTTGTTATCCTCATTTACTTCCAAAAAGTTTTTGATTTCTTGAATGACCCAGTGTTCATTCAGGAGCATGTTGTTCAGTCTCCATGTGTTTGCATACTTTCTAGGGTTTCCTGATTTGCTAATTTCCAGCTTCATTCGGCTGTGGTCTGAGAAGCTGCATGGTATGATTTTAATTCTTTTGAATTTGCTGAGATTTGCTTTATGGCCTAGTATGTGATCAATCCTAGAGAAGGTTCCATGCACTGCTGAGAAGAATGTAAAGTCTTTAGATGTAGGATTGAAAGTTCTGTAGATACCTGTTAGATCCATTTGGGCAATAGTGTCGATTAAATCTGCTGTTTCCTTGTTGATCTTCTGTCCGGATGATCTGTCTATTTCTGAGAGTGGAGTATTAAAGTCCCCCAGTACTATTGTATTGGAATCTAAGTCTCCCTTT